TGGTGGTAGCCATGGGGGTCGGTGCCCCCGAGGGGCAGGGCGGGGGCCTTGGCGTTGAGAATGGAGAACTCCTGCAGCCACTGCAGGCTAGTTAGGCTGTCATCCAGGGCGTCGGGCTCCTCCAGGCCGCCCTCCCGCCCGGCCTCCTCCGCCGACCCTGCTCCGGAGAGGCGCAGCCAGCTCTCCGCCATGTCTGCGGGGACTCTCCGAGGGGTCGGTCAGCATCCACGACCCGCCGCGCTCTCCCGGACTTCCGCAGGTCCGGTTACACAGCCTCCTGGACACAGGTTTTCATCTTGCGACCCCGGGGTCGCCTCCTCCAAATACGTATGTGGTGCCTGCGGAGACCGCAGGGGGAGCTGAGAACTCTTACCCGACCCTCGAGAGGAGGGGGTGTGTGTTCGAGAGGGACACCTCTATCACTGTCCCCAAAGCAGGGGAGTATCTTTTAGTGCCAAGGTCTGGGAAATAGAAGCAATGCCCTGGGGTAGACCGCCACCAGATCCGCTTCTCTCTTCCTTTCCTCTTTGAGGTTTTATTATAGAAGAGGGTAAGGTCATCTGAGTCTATCCCTTTTTCCTGAAAGGCACAAAATCAGGACTCCCTTCCTCCCCACAAATGGAAATGGGGCGAGAAGTCTCGAGGGGGCGGGGGAGGGGGGCGACGGAGGTCGTCTGATCCTCGAGAAAGGATATTAGGATGGGGGTTATGGAAAAGGAAGGGAACCGAACAGAGTTATGGGGTGTTGAGAGGAGAGTTTTCCCCCAGACTCCACAGATGTCAGTCCCAGGGCCCACCGCTTCCGTCGAGGACGAATGGGAGAGCGGGCTTGTACTGTCGCCCTCCCCTCCCGTGGCCTGCAGCCCTCCCCGTCCCTTACCTGGCTCAGAGCGCAGCCCGGGCCAGAGGAAGGTTCTGGAACAAGGTCCTCCCCCCCCCCGCGGCTTTCTGCCCCCAGCTCGAGGGCCCCGTCAGCGCCTCTCGCCGCCCCCCCCGGCCCGACGGCTCTTCTCTGAGTGCCGGCGGCTCCGGGACCGGCAATAAGTAGCCGCTCGGAAGGCTTCTCCTGCTGCCATAGCGACGCCCCGCCCCCGTAAACAGCTTCCGCTGCTGCCATTGGCCAGCACGTCTCCAAGGAGACCGCGGGCCCTTGCTACTCTCTCTGGCGGCAACTCTCTGCGAACTCCCTCCTACCGCGCCCTCCCGCGCCACCAGCCCCCCACCCGCCGCCGCGTCCCGGCTCGGCGCATTCCCGCCCGAGGGCCCCGCGCTGGGTCGGAGAAGCGCGCGGCCCGCGGCCCAGAGAACGGCTCCCGATCCGTTCGCCCGGGGAACCGCCGCTCCCGCCCTCTTCCTGTCCCGGGGTCGCCGGGGCGTTGACGGCTTAGGAGACGGAGCCAAGGCTGGAAGCGAGCTCGGGCGCCGTATCCCTGAGGTTTTATCTCCTCTGAGCTGCGAGAGGCGCTTTGCCGTGTTTCTGTGGCCTTTTCCTCTCCCCCTACCCCGAGTGTCTCTGGTGCCTGCAGGCAGGTCTGACTCTTCGATGCCACCTGCCGCTCACATTCACAGAAATGGCAGACACCCCGTGGCGGGTAGGGTAATCCGGTCTCTCTCGACACGCAGCTCCCTCCCCAACCGTATCCTCAAGGTCCCGGAAGCTGACATTCCAGAGGCTTCTGCAGAAATACACTGTGTCCTTCCCAGATAGCTGAGGAGGCAGAGCCCGGTGGGTAAAACTCAGGACTTGACAAATTCTCCTAGCGGGGTCATTATCCCTGTTAATTTCACCAACCTTTAAGTGACAGGGAATAAAGGTAGAGGGACTCTGGGGACTGTAAGGCCTCCCTTTCCCTGGCCTCCCTCCTGTCACCAGCTTTTCTGCCCTTTAATTATTGAGGAGCTGCCGTGTTGGAAGTTCTCCGGTTTAAGGCGGCTTCAGCGGCAGCAGTTGGGGGCTGGGCTGCTCACCCAGCCTCAGCCCAGGAGCCGGAGCAGAGCTGGGGTTGGGAAGCCTGATGCCCAGGCCACGCAGAAAGGCAGGCACCTGCACAATGGCCCACCCAGGAACATGCTTTCCCTACCACTTGCCTCTCCCACTGCTCCAAATCCAGATCAGCTTGAGTAAAAATACTAAAGAGCGCTGGAGAAAGTCAAATATAAACTTTCACAAATAATTAGCTCACTTTGCAGTTAACAACTCTCCCTTGTAAACAGTTTTATTCATTTTTAAGAATCATGCAGCAATCCATAAATATTGCATCCTGATGTCCCCGCTGTAGTGTGCCCATGTGTACTCCAGGGAGGGGGTACACAGATGGTGCAAACAGTGTACACATGCACACACAAGGTGTGCAGGCCCTAAAGCTAAGTGAGCAACCAGTGTGCCAAGACCAGGTGGGTGGGATCCTAGCTCCCCAGGTGAGGCGGCTTAAAGTGTGTAGGTCTGTGCCCAAGAGATGCCCCGTGGGGGTATAAACTCTGGTGGGATGGAACTGGGTAGAAGGAAAAAAGGCTCTGTGAAGAGCCAGGATCACACCACCTGAAGGCCATGGGGAAGCAGATGAGTTCAGCAGGAAGGAGCCCTAGTTTTCAGTTAGTCTGTGCCCTTGTGGGAGGATCCGGGCCCATTCCCTCTCTCTGGGACTGTATTAGCGGACAACAGACTGGGGCAGGATTGGCAGTTGACCTGTCCTCATCAGGCTGACTGAGGACCAACCCTTTTGGATAGGATATTCCTGCTTGCCAGACCGGGAAGGAAAGGGTGAAGGTAATGGCTTCCTCTAGGGGTCCTAGTCACTGTGGCAACTGTTTACCTGAATCTCCTTCATCTCACCTCCTTCCCCCACCCTCTCAGGTAACATCACACTGTGAATAAGACCTGCAGGGGACAGGAGGTGGTCTGTGTGCTGTCACCCCAGAGCAAGGGAAGCTCCCTGTTGCCTGGGGTGTTCTGGGGCTCGTACTTCAAGGAAATCAGGAAGTAGGTTTTTGCTTAACTTACACTGGTTTAAGCCTTACTATGAGAGGAACTGTAAGAATGTGATGGGAAGGACATTAAGTGGTGCCTGAAACAGCAGTGTCCACTGCAGTATTTCAGAAGGTGGACAACAGGCTCCCTTTCACCAGGGCAGGATGTGAACCCCAACCACTAGGCAGTGTGACAGACACGATACACTTGGCCTCTGCAACCACACAGAAGGTGCAAAGGACCCCTGAGCACCGGGCTCCTTTTGAGGCTACTGGCCTTGGAAATGGCCTTGAAAAATTATTCTAGGGTAACAATTCCAAGTCTTAAGACAGTCCACTCCAATGGGCATAGCCTATAGGGCTCTCCCACATCTTTTTTTTTTTTTTAAGATTAGGAAAAATAGTTTATTGAGAAAGTAAATTGAAGAGAGAGAGGAGGGAATCCACCTCCCCAAGATGAGGGAGGGGGCCAGAGCTTAAAGAAAAGTATCGCAGCCTGGGCGCGATGGCTCAAGTTTATAATCCCAGCACTTTGGGAGGCTGAGGCGAGAGGACTGCCTGAGCTCAGGGGTTCAATTCCAGCTTGGGCAACATGGTGAGACCTCGTCTCTACAATAAAAAAAAAAAAATAGCTGGGCATGGTAGTGCACGCCTATAGTTTCAGCTATTTGGAAGGCTGAGGCAGAAGGATCACATCAGCCCAGCAGGCAGAGGCTGTGATGGCCATGCCACTGCACTCTAGCCTGGGCCACAGAGTAAGACTCTGACTTAAAAAAAAAAAAAGAAAGAAAAGAAAAGAAAAATAAAAGCATGGCCCTCTCCCACATCTTAATCTCACAAATATTTGTTGTGTCTAGCTTTGCTTCCCAAATAATTGCATGCCCCACTAAACAACCACCTTTTCTGAAAGCCAGTAGACTGCACATCTATTCAGGAGTCACAGGGAATCCACTAGTAACATTAGTGTTGAGAAAGGAGCAACAGCCACCAACTCACAGTCCAGCTGTGCTGTTTCAGGTTCTTAGTTATGTGCTCTCACACATAACTAAGTAGGGTGGGCAGGACAGATGACTGGAACAATGTCCAAACTGCTAATGAACATGTGGCAGGCTCTACCTCTCCTCTCACCTACCATGCTCAGCAGTTCTGGAAGGCAGAAGAGGAAAGGATGGAGGGCGGGACAGTCCTCAAAGTGAAGGCCCTGAGCCCTGGTTCCAGCCTCTGGTTCCCAGACCACTATCGCTGGCTACAGCTGCGGGCTTCAGGCTGCTTCCTGAGCTTAGCCCAGTGCTCTCTGCCTCTTCCTTGGGAATCCTGGCCACCAGTTTGAGAATCACCAGGCACTCAGACTATTTCCTCAACCACTGAAAAAAGGGGGTAGAGGGGCACACAACCACCCACTGGGCACCATGCCCACTACCAGGGGGAGAGAGGGCTTGCTAAAGCCCAAACCTTACCTCACACAATTTACTTATGTAGACAATCCTCACATGTACCCCACAACTAAATAAAATAAAAGAATAAAATAAAATAACATGGAGTAGAGATAGGAGCAATAGGGATAATAAGACCGCCTCCCAGGGCTGAATGAGGATGAAATAGAATAAGTGACTTCTCCTAACACAGTGCCTGGCACAAAGAGGTGGTCAACACCTACGTTTCTTAAAATGTCATCTTACGATGGAGTCCCAGGACTTCCTGAATGCACCTGATCAAGAGAAAGTCTTCTTCAGGGTAATCATCTTAACTTCAGGGATTCTCAGATTCAAAGGCTCCTCCCTAAGCAGACAGGTGTGTGAGGCACAGGAGACCAGCTCTGCCACTAGACGGAAGAATTGTCTTTTCCTGTCAGCCTTTAGGGTGCTCAGTCCATGAGAAAGGAGCTTCTAATACTTTCGGAGGGAAATTCCACACATAGGGCAATATGGCTCTCCCTTTTCACAGGAGCAGTCCTCCAGCCCCACCCCAAATTAGAGGTTTCAGATGGATTATAATGTGCCAGAAACCAGAAACTGCCAGAAGATATTTGTAACAAAGCTGCCAATATTCCAAGCCTTTTCGCTTTTCCTCCCCAGGAGAAAAAAGGCGCATAAGAAACAACTGGCCCATGGACCTCAGCATCACCCGAACATCAAGATACAGTGAGAACATTCCAGAGAGTCCTACAAAGGGTCTTATGAGCTGCAGTTCACTGAGTGGCTTCTGCCCACAGGGAGAAAGGAGGGCTTCTGGTCCCTTCTAAGGGGAAAGATTATTGTTATAGGAGACAAGGCTGGGAGAAGGAGCAAGCTGAACTCAACATCCAGCTTTTGCGTGACTACAAAAGTCTGTGCGTGTCTTGCTGAGGATGCCCACGGGCAGCAGTCCAGCGAGGATGGACGGAATGTGAGGACAGGAGGGGAGCCTGGGTGCAGGCGCTGGGGCTCTCAGACAGCCAAAGGACCCCACACGCAGGGCCTGTTCTCAGGGTCCTCCAGGCTGCCAGACGACAAGCGCCGGCGCTGGGTGTTCCGATGACTGACAGCATTGTCATCAGCCTGCCAGGTACCTGGGGAAGAGAAAGTGAAGGTTACAGGGGCCAAAGACCTTTGGCCAGGTCCAGATGGTGTCTTCAGCGGGGCAGCCTGGGAGTTCAGCACAGACGTTAGCAGGATGCATGTCACCTGAAACTCCTATGAGGGTGCAGGCCACAGCGCACGCATGAGAGAAAAAACAGAGAGAAGCAGGTGCCAACAGGTACAGGGGCTGCTCCTGTCTCTCTAGGCTAGGTACAGTCATTGCCACTGTAGCCTGGGACAGAGAGGGACATAAAAGATGTTCCTTGTTTTGTGAACATACCCTAGGATACACTTTTTTGGGGGTTTTTTGGGGTTTTTTTTAGTAAACATATTTTTTATTATAAAATTATGGGGTACAGTTAAGGGTTAGGTATACAAATGTGCATCGTTCAGGCACCCTTGTTAATAAGGGGTGTCTCCCCATCCCCAGGATACACTTTTGTATCTTAATTACTTGGTTTTGAAGTTTGCCTATATGTTATGATGGACAGAGAAAAGGAAATTGGGCCTTGCTGAGCTATTTTCATCAGGGCAGCAAGAGGTGGAAGGGGGCGAGAAAAACAAGTTTGTTCAGGCCCAAAGTGTCAGTGTTTTCTGTGGGAGCCCAGGTGGGGCAAGAAGGGGCTGGCCACTCAGCAGGGTGCCTGGGGATGGAACGGCATCCCCAGGAAGGACAGTGTGAGGCTCCAGCATCCTCTCCCCCACAACTCCTTCTGCACCGAGCAGCAGGCTGAGGTCTGGTATCAGGTGGTGCCATCAGCCCAGGAGACAGTAGCCCGACAGGCTGGAGTTCCTACAGGTACCAACCATCACTAAACGCATCCTCCTTCCCCAAATCTGCTGCTGCCCCCTGCATGAGGAATGCCACCTACCTGTGCTGGAAACACAACCTTGGTGCTTCTCTCTCCTTTGTGCCCTGCAGCCAACCCTCCACCACCTCCTGTTTGCTCATTTCCTAGTCATGTTGTGATTAAATATGCAGTCATGCCAAACTGGGTTTCACTCCCAGTTTACAACGTACTGACTGCGTGATCTTGGGCACGTCAATTTACTTTAATCCTTGGTTTTCGCACCCACCAAGTGGGAGATGAGTACTTACCTCACAGCTTGCCATAAGGACTAAACAAGATACCCTGCCTCCTAGAATAGACTGTGCTCAGTAAAGAGCCTCCCCCAAGGATCCTTCAGGCCATCCCTCTCCCTGGACCTGCTCTTCCTCTCCAGTCCACACGTTGGCTTCCTCCAGGTCCTTCCCTCCAGCGGAGCTGGAGAGCTCCTGCTGAAAAGTCAGCGCCTTCGCCACCTCACACTCAGCCTGAAGCCCTGGCTCCCTGGGTTTATGGAAGGCACGTTGTCCTCTTGTCCCCATGGGCCTCCTGAGCCATGCCCTCTTCTCACACACAAGGCACCTGCAGGCTGGATGAGGCCAGCGTGCTTCTGGGTGCTCCCTGCAGCCTGAACTGCCCCTCCACTCTCAACACTGCAGACAAGCTAAACCCTTGAACTCCTCCATCAGACCATAATATAAGCTCCTTCTGGGCAGGGCTGTGGCCTCTTCACTGTGGCACCCTGGAGCCCAGTGCAGTGCCTGACCCATTAGAGGACTTGTTCAGTGGGTAGGGCCAACCAGCTGCAGAGTGGCCCTGAGGTTGAGGGAAGTCACTCACAAGTGTCCTCAAGTAAGGCCAGCCCAGGACATGAACTCTTTAATGGCACTAGGAGTAAGCAGATATAAACAGCTTTTTTCCCCCACAGATATGCTCCTGTGACTGATACATCCTAAGGTTCTCATAATAGACAATGGTGGACCCCAGGGGAAAAGCGGGTAGAATGAGAAACAGGAGAGTCTTAGATATCTTTCACATCAACATGAATGTGGGATCTTTACTCCCTAGGGGTACTAGAGCCCGGGACATGAGTCAGGGTGCTTTTTGCCCTCTAAAGGCAGCATTAAGTGTCTAAGTGTGGCAGGATAAATATAAGGCAATATTGCCTTTTAAGTAAGAAACCCCAAATAAAATGAGCTGTTTGTTCATTTATATAATTGGGTAGATCTCATACCTATTCCTCAATGTTTATGGGGCAGGACTCCGGAACTGCGGCTGTTCAGTAGGAAAGACCAAAAGCAAATGGTAAACGAGAGAGAAGACACATGCATGCACAAAATAAAGACAGCAGCAGCAATGTCACCACTACCACCACCACCGCCGCCGCCGCCACCAGCACACCATGGAACCCTGGGACTGAGAGCCTGCCCAGAGAGCTGTCCTGACTCTGAATTCACAGGAGTTCTTGATACAAACTTCCCCATTCTAGCAGCCTTAGCCAGGGCTGAAAATCAGTTCCTAGTAGAAGAGACTCAAGACTTAGGTCTGAAGTTTCTGTCCTCCCTGCCTTCCTGGCACATTCTGGTGAGGGGAGGTTCAGTACTCTTCCTTGTAACAGACTCTGAAGGGCTCAGCAAAACCTTGCTGCCACTCTCTTCCTCAGCTTCATTCAGACAGTGAACCTGCTTGCAGAAGTGAGCCTGGGATGCTGAAGAGGGCTTCTGGAACAAGTGTCACCATTTTGTCTGGTCAAATTCATGCACCTCCAGTCAGAAGATGAAGCTTAGCGATTTAAAAATCCTTGGAGGGAGATGGATAAAGGTGCCTTCCATTCAATTCCCGCTTTGGGAAATCAGAAATGGGAGAGTGAAGAGACCTCTAGAGGTAGACTTGGGGAGCACATTTAGGGAAATTTTTTCCGGCTTCTACCAAGCCACTAATTAAATGGAAGTGCTACAGTTGCTCAGTTGTCTTTGTACAGTTTCTCTCCAGGGGACAGAAAAACTTAATTTGGATTTTTCCTTAATGTATATGAAGTGCAAACTTCCCTAGTAGTATTTTAATCTTGGGTTATGAGATCTGGAGAACTGAATTTCAGGTCTCCATGAGTATCTTTAGGTTTCACTGGATATGCCCACTCCTGTGCCATGCAGTCATTTAAAAATTGTATTTTAGTTGGGCTCGGTGGCTCAGCCTGTAACCCCAGCACTTTGGGAGGCTGGGGTGAGTGGACTGCCTGAGCCTGCGGGCTCGTGACCAGGCTGGGCAACTTGGCAAGACCTCGTCTCTACAATAAATACAAACATTAGCTGGGTTTGGTAGCCTATAGTTCCGGCTACTTGGAAGACTGAGGCGGAGGGATCGCCTGAGTCCAGCAGGTAGACACTGGGGTGGCCGTGAGTGTGCCACTGCACTCCAGCCTGGGCGACGGAATAAGACTCCAACTCAAAATAAAAATAAATAAATAAAAATAAAAATATAAAAATTGTATTTCCATTAAAAACTCCCAATTATCTTTGTCTCTTCTCATCACATACACTACCCAGAGCCTGTTCATAGACTAATGACTTACCCCTGATCACTATCCTGCCACCTGTGTGGTATTTCACCAAATTCCCTGTAGTCACCATCAACTTAGTGTGGCCTCACACTTCTAATCTTACTACCTGTCATACCCATTGACTGAGATCTCCCCCTTTGAGAACCTTTCAAAAACAATCTCGGAACATCTTTCCCCCCAGGGAAAGACCAAAAATTCACCCTTGGTCTTAGGGCCTAGGAAGACCCAGAAACTTCTTGCAGGGGAGGGGCTGGAATAACACAAGTGCCTCTCTACTCAGTGTGCCAGAGGGGTGAGGGTGGGAACCAGCACAGCTGTCAGTCCTCGCCACTAGCTGGGTCACCTGGCAGAGCATGTGTGAACACAGGATGCTCCCCACTGTCTTCTCATTGGCCCTCTGTAAAGGGAGTGGCACCCAATTGAAGAGGGAAACAGACTCAGGCAGGGACCAGCTGCGTGAGCAGCCATCTGGGTGGAGGAGAGAGTGGGCCACAGGAACAGTGAAGAGCCAAGCCAGCCTGCGGGTATCTCGGTTGCAGGGTGGAAACCTGAACTTACAGTGGAGCATGAAGAGACTTACTGTTCCTGGGACCAAATGGGACATTCCTGTCTTTACCCCAGCAGGTACCTCCAGAGAGTTCCCCAGCACTTTGCTGCCACTGTGGTGCTACCAGCAGAGCCAGAGACGCATTTTTCCAAGACAGCAGATGTGCTTTCCCCTCTTGGGTAAAGGGTCTCAAGACCTCTGGTGAGGATACATAGGGACACTCGCAGAGCTTATACCTGAGTTTCTCTCCTGACAGCCATCACAGGCATTTGATTTCATGACTGGCCCAAACTGTGAACCCAGTACCCTCTCAAAACAGCTGGTTCCAGAAATCACCATAAGGAACCCCAGGCTGTTTTCTTCCTTCCAGTTCTTACTCCCCTCCCACAATCCCATAGGTGGAATCAATATCAACAAGCAGCTTGGCCAGAGGGAGTTAGGAAGAGGAGGAAGCAGAACGAATAAGCTCAATTTTCACCAGCATTGTTGGCTAAAACAATTCCCAGCAGCTCCCTCTGCCAAAAAATAGGGGTGGGTGGGGGAGCCCCTTGAGGGAGGCAGAAATATAGATTTCTCTCCTGAAGTCCAGCAAGAGAATGGCCAGTATAGAGCTGCCACAGACACAGGGCAGAGCTAGGGCAGAGATACAATCTTCACCCAAGTATTGACCAAAGATGCCAATTAAAAACAAATCCTTCCCATAATCCTTGCCACGGAAGCATTCCCATTTTTGTTGAACAGAAATTGATATAGTATCACCAGAATTTTTATTGGAAAATCTCAGTATACTGAATACAGGCCCTAGCCTATTAGAAATGGGAACCTTGCTCATAGCCCTAAGCAAGAGCCTCTCAGGTGTGCGCACGCCCAGCAAGCTTGGAATCCGAAGCATAGGCAAGGAGGATAGTGTTGGCACGGTGTGAACATGAACTTTCACACCACGTCTGGAGAACAGAAATGAGCTTAGAAAATAAACAAACCAGACAGACAGATTTACATTTGGCAAAATGATATGAAACACAAATGGACAAACAGAAGCCAGGTCAGGAGTGGGAAGGCAGGGAGTGAGGTGGACCCTGGGCCCCAGCAGCTCCAGTCCAGGCCTAGCTGGCAGGAGGCTGACCCCATGGTCGACACTCTCTCCTCTACACTCAGGCAGGAAGGGGGTTTCCCGGGGCCTGTGCAGGAGAAGCGGGTGAACTGTTATTGCCTCTTTTGGCCTCACTGAAGATTAAGAGACCCAGGTATTATCTTTGGGACAAACTAAACAGAAAATGACTTTAAAGCCCTTTGAAAGGCTAGAGAAAGTGACTCTCGTGAATTCCAGCTTCCCCTGCCACAAGCTTGTGTCGGGCCAGAGCGTGCTGGGACCGTGTCTTGCACAGGCTGATGGAGAGTGGCAACCACAGGAGGTCTTGTGGCTCCAACACCTCCAGCCACTTCGCTGAGCGAGTAAAGCACTGGACCCATGATGTGGCTGTTCTGAAGCTGAAATAAATCTTCATTCAGGGAATGTTTAAGAGGATTCAAACAACACAACGTGAAGGACAATCTCTGTAGTGAAACCAGGAGGGGACATTAGACCAAGTCCACTTGGACAAGACTTAGCTTTTAGAAAAGTGTTTCGGCCAAGGCGAGAGTCCGCGGGTTTGAGACTAGCCCAGGCAACTTCGTGAGACTGCATCTCTACAGTAAATTAAAAAATTAGCTGGGCAGTGGTAGCGTACACCTGTAGTTCCAGCTACTTGGAAGACTGAGATGGAAGGATCGCCAGAGCCCAGCAGGTTGACGCTGGGGTGGCCATGGGTGTGCCACTGCACTCCAGCCTGGGCAATGGAGGGAGACTCCAACTCAAAAAAAAAAGAAAAGAAAAGTGTTTCTTGGAGACCTTGAATGAGCACGTGGAGTAGAAAGAGGTCAGTGCTCAAAGTGTGATTAACATGGTCCTTTGTAAGAAATTATCCTAGATTTGGGCTGTTAGAATCATGCGAGGAAATAAGGGGCACATTGACAACCTGATCGAGTTTTAAGTAGGGGTTCCAGGGAGCAAAGTCACCCTTGACCCCTGACTTCTCCTTTGGGACCCAAATCTCATGTGTACAATGCAACTGGTAACCTAAAACTCACTGGATCACCAAGCCATTCCCTGGCCCATCAAATGCTGGCTTGTACATTCCTCTCTGATCCTAATGGAAACCTGTTTCTTCTGAGGAGCTATGACTTCCCTCTTAAAGGGTTCAGTCCATCTTTCCAAGACTTCGTAGAAAGGTAGTGTTTCTGCTAAAACTTCCTGTTGATGAAAACAAGACCAGGCCACCTGCAAGGTCGTAATGGAGATAGGAGGGTGGGACTAAGCCAAATCATAAGGGGAGGAAGCTTTGTTTCTATCTTTCTATCCTAATATTCTCACCCGGAGGAGGGGCTTCTCTTTGCAAAAAGCTCAGGGACTCTCCTGAGGCCTTCTCACTTCCTTTCAGCATCTGGTCTCCACACTTAGCACACCCCAGGCCTTCTTGGCAGGAACTGCAGGGCAGGAGATGGGTGTACCAGGGTGAGAGCAGGGGTAAGAGCAGAGGGATGTCTCCCACCAAGTTCATGTTCAGCAGACTGCCACTCACCGGGTAAGCAGACCTCAGAGCACAGCTTATTGTCCAGTGCTTTCACGCTTGCGATGTCAAAGTCATTGTTATTGTCACACTCCATACCTAGAAATGCGCATGTCCTCTGGCCTGTAACGGAGTTAATGCAGTTAGAAAGGGGCTGGCTATCTCTGCTTTGCTGTCCTTAAAATAAAATTCTTAAGGATGGAGACGAAAAAAATCAAATCATATGTTAAAAAAAAACACAGTAATTAAGTGGGTAAAGAGTGGACAAAAAAGGAATCAAATTGTGTGGGCATGTCTGTGTTCTGGTGCTATTCTGCTCTGTTTCCCTGTAGCCCCTTTCCATCTGCTGCTCCCCATAAAGTCAGATCGCTGGGGAGGGCTGTGGGACACAGGCTCCACTGAGAACACTACAGTGAGCAGAGCCTGGTGGATCTAGAGGAAGCCAGTGGGGAAGTCTCCCTGCTCATGCCTGTGTCTGTCTCAGGTGTGAGTTGGGTGTGTTTATGACCACAAGGCTCTGTAAAATGATAAATACATAAAACAACAACGAAAGGTCTTAGGTTCCATAATTTTGCATATCAAATCAGAATGGTCACAGTCACAAAATTATGATTTCTTTTCCTATGAGACCTGAGTTGTTATTTTGAATATGTTTTAAGTGGCTGATCAGAGACCTACAGACATGTAAGAGGGAAAGGGAGAAGTTTTAGAAGCTATTTGTCAAGCTCCCCTCTTTTTATTTTGTGAAAGGGAGACAAGAAAATATAAATCTACTGCATGGGCTGAAGAACATCATGTGAAACCACCAGGCCACGCTGTATATTTTAGAAGCAAATATTCTATGGGAGAAACAATCACAAAAGGTAACTGGAACCTTAAGCACTAAAATCATCAACGGAGTCCAAATTCCTTGGGCTGATGTTCGAGAGCTAGCAGAGGCCCAGCCTCCGCGGTCATCCTCTCCTGTGGGCTCCTTGACCAGGCAGGAGCTTTCAAGTCTGCATGCACACCCCTGACACTCCCCAAGCGATGGCCAGCGCTAAAGCAGAAGCAACTAGGATGACATCTGCTGGCACGTCTGCGTCCAGGCTGGGGCACACGTGTGCTCTGGAGGCTCCCCTGCGGGGGGCACCTCAGAGCAGCGGAGGGCAGAGTCGGGCTCCTGGAACATGTGGTGTTCCCTGGTAAGGGGTGGCTTTCCTGCCCTCCTTCTTCCTCCTGCTTCCTTGCCCTGTAGGCCATTCCTTCTCTTCAAGCCTTACTTGAAACAAAATGCCTCCAACTGCTATAATTGAGGGCCGAATTATGGTAAAGAGAATCATTACAATAGCCTGGTTGCCTAAAGCTGAGCTGCTGAAGAAGCTTGGATCTGTTTCCTTGACCACAGTTTTAATGTGTCTGCTGGCTCACAGTCACATCGACTATTTTCCTCACTAAAGCGAAACCTGACCAGCTGCCAAGTAGTCCTTCCTCCCCAGTGGAAGAAACTGCCACTGCTGCTCAGAGTTGGGGGCTGCCGGAGCAGCTCTGTGGGGCCACTGCAGAGTTGCAGCAGGGAGGCTGGTGGTGGGAGTTGCCCAGGAAGCTTCAAATCAACTCAAGGTAAATGTGGAACTATATATATCTTCTGCAGCATCCTTACACTGGCATCCTCGGCTCTGAGTCCCAGAAAGAGCTGGGAAAGTCACTGAGGTCACTGATGCCCGGCTGGCTTTCATATACCATCAAAAAGACCACCTTTCTTCCAATTGCTCCGCAACTGGGCACTGCTACCCAGTCATACTGGTAGCCCTTTCTCTGCCCCTTAAAGACTATTTAGGACTATATAAGAGGGGGCAAAGGACCAGGTCTTTTACCATCTTCTTGTGTGGGAGATCCATCTTCTTCCTCTATAACATCATTTCCCTAGGACAGAAGGAAGTCCAATGAGTCTATAAAGCAGCAAAATGACTAAATGGATCAGTTGAAGACAGAACTGATCATCCTAACAGTATCTCATTCTGGTGCCTACATCAATAGCATATATTTCCCATCCCATTTATTATGCCTAGGAGGCTGAGTAGAGGCTGATTTTGCTTGATGAGGTATAATTGGCCTACAGGGACTAGGTCTGAGCCACATTACCTAGAGTGCTGTCAGGAATACCCTTGTAAAAGTTATTAAAAGGAGAGAGCAAATTGTGAGATCATAAAACTTTCAGAAATCCCTTAGGATCCCAAACCCTATCCAGAAACTCCCTTGAGAGCATCTGGCACAAGCAGAATTCTAGTGCCCTCACTGTGAGCTGTATTCCATCGCACTGCACGCACACTGAAGTCAGGGTACTTCCCACACTGAGCTGCGGTCTTGTCTGCTCACTGGATGGGGCTCCTAAATGGGGGCAGTGGGTGGGGCAGGTAGAAACCTCAGGTCTTCGTGTGCCCCAGTGCCAGGGAGCACCTGTGACACAGTCCCTCTGTGTAAATCCTCACTAGAGGAATGAAGGACAACACATTCTCAAGGTCCAGGGACTGGCACAGAAAGTTCCCTCTTGAATTCACTGCACACCGATCACATGGAACCAGTGCCCCCTGCTCCCCGAGAGCCCACAGGCCAGTGTGCGGTTGCTCTCATCTTCACCTACACTGCACTTCTGACTGATCTAGGCATGCCCTGAGGAAGCCTTCTTCAGCACAGCCTCCCGCCCTGTCCCTATTGGTTTCCCCAGCCAAGGCTAGAAGTTCCTCTGGCTGTGGGAAGGGGCACCACTGTCTGTCATCGGGGTTACCTCTGCATCCTGCTCTCCAGCTGGGAGGTCAGCAAAGTTGCTATCTGGAGACTCAGCAGGAAGTCCCTGCAAAAGAGCAATGAAGACCAAGGGCAGTTATTGCAGGCTCTCCTATCAAGTTCACATGACAGCAAACCCAAACCCAAGTCTTCAGTACAACTTTGGTGCCAAACAGAAAGCTCAGATCTGAGGGAATCCCTGGTTGTCTGTGGCACTCCTTTTGACACTTTGGGGGGCTTTGCTGCCATGCCTGGTAGACCCTTGATTAAGTTACATGTGTACAAAGTATGGAGGAGCCCAGGCAGTTCCTGCACCCTTCCCTTACCTCTCCTTCTTCTTCATACGAGGGGGCCCTGCTGGCAGCCCGGGGGGAAGGGAGAGGGTCTCCCTCCTCTTCAGTGCCAGGTGCAATGTAGGAGCCGGACATGGAGGAGACGGTGTCGGTGCTGATCTGGGAGGATGCCATGGACATGACAGACTGGGCCAGACTGCTGCTGGCAGGGCCTTTGGAGACAAGGGTTGGAGAAAGGAGTCTGGAGGTCAGGCAGAGCTTCTGCAAGCTTTCTGAGGAGCAGAGCCCTCTCCCTGCACTCAGGCAGTGATAAGTACAAAGGCCTTATCTTGCCCTCCTCTAAAAAAGACTTGAGATTTAAGGTATTCTAAGATTCTGCCACTTTACATTTTATAGTGCAGAACTCAACCTCAAAAACCAGATTTGCTTTTGTCTGTCATGATATTAAAGGAAGCCTCATGATGGCAGGACTAGGACTAACAGAACCTTTTCTACCTTAGCTACAGGCAAGCTTCTTGTCCCACGGTCCCATGGTAGGAGAAGAAATCCCCTTCCCTCTCAAGCTGGGACGTCTTTAGTCACGCAGCTCAGGCATTAGCTTGCTGCTCCCAAGTCCCTTCCCAGAGGAAGCACCAGGTAGCTGTGGATTAGGTTAATGAGGACGGACATGCTGCCACTCTCTACTTCCTCATGTACCTTCTGGGGAGGAAATCGTGGATGAGAGAGGCGTTCCTGTGCAAGATGACTGGTCGATAGCTCCAGATGACGACAAGGTGAGATTCTCACTTTCTGGAGTCACACCACATTCCTGGGGGTTGTGGGGAGCACATGGGGCAAGGAGTTAAGTGCAAATCAGCTGTGCTGGAGAAAAGGGGTAAGGACAGGGGGCCTGGGTAGGGATGAGGAAGAAAGGGAAACTGAAAGGGACTGAGACACATGCCAAGGACGTGGTTTCTCTTCCGTCCTCATTTCTCAGCCTAGGCCTGGAATGAGTGTCTCCCAGGGGAGGTGCAAACTTCACTCAGCACCTCCTGCCTGAGGCACAGCATCTGCTGGGGCCACACAAAGACTGCAGCTCAGATAACACAGGTCATCCAGCAGCTGTGACATGGGGACACCCCAGGTTTCCCCAGGATTATGCAAAGAACACAAAACCAGCAGAAGCCTCCCTGCCTGCAGCTTATCTCCACGTGGATGCCCAGTTAGCTCCAGCTCAGTTGATCTAACACAGGGCACCGCCTTGGCTCCCCAGGCTGCTGCTCCTCCCACACCCCACCCTGATCCTGACCCCCCACCTGCCAGGCACCTGGACACACAGCGTCACCCATCCCAGGCGGATGCAGAGTTCTACTGACTGTATCTCCATAATCCCTGCTTGTTCTTCCAGGTGGTCTTCTTTTGTCCTGAGTTCAGACATTCTCTCTAGTTCAGGCTACTGAAGCCCCTCTCCTTTCTAGCCCAGGCTGCACCCTGCTGTCATAAAGAAGCAAAGCTCTCGCTATATCACTGGTCTGCTCCAAGTCCCACTTCCTGCTCCAGGTCTTTGCGTGCACCATGCCCTTCACCTGGACGTTTCTCTTGCCTTTCCCTTCAGTTCTCCTCTGTAACACGTTTTTTGATTTCCTCAACTTATAATAATCTTACCCATTTCTGCCACAGCACTTTATTGTCCCTGTTTTAGGTGTGCTTCTTTTCTGTAGTTAAAATTCATTCATTTAAAATTCACTCAACAAGCCAGTGGCTCAGCCTGCAAAGGCCGCGCCTTTGGGAGGCTGAGGTGAGTGGATTGCCTGAGCCCGCGGGTTCGAGACCCGCCTGGGCAACTTGGCGAGACCTCATCTCTACAATAAATTAAAAAATCAGCTGGGCGTGGCAGCGCGCGCCTGTAGTTCCAGCTACTTGGAAGGCTGAGGTGGAAGGATCACTGGAGCCCAGCAGGTAGAGGCTGCAGTGGCCGGGAGCGGCCACTGCACTCCAGTCTGGGCGACAGAGTGAGACTCCAACTCTAAATAAATAAATAAAAATAAAAAATAAAATTCACTCAACAAACACTGAGCAACAACAATGTGCCAGGCACGGTGCTGTTCTTTGTGTATGTGTCCTGTCCCAGCTAGACCTGGGCTTCCAAGGGCAGGGATCACTTTATTTCCTTCCTGTGCCCTGCTGTACCTACAGTTCAGTGCCCTACACAGAGGAGGTGTATAATAAACCTCTGTTAAGTGAAGTCTCTCAGGGATGCACAGTATAGAAAATTTCAGGTTTCTTCTACTTCACCACAAGGGTCTCCTAGCACTCCATCCCACCAGGGCTTTTCCCTTGCTGTTCCCAGGCCTAGAGCCCTCTCTCCTCATATGTCTGCATAACTTGCTCTCTCACCTCCCTTGATCTCTGCTCCTGGACCATTTTTAAAAAATGGCACCCCCACTTCTAGTGTTGACATTTCCTTCCCCCTTGTCTGACATGCCGATCCATAGCACCATCTGACACACATGCATTTTTTTGCTTATCGTCTTTTGTGTCCAGCCCCTCATCCCAGTTGGCAAGAATATAAGTACTACAAGGGCACAGCTTTCGTAGTTCCTAGTTACTATCCTCACAGCATAGAGCAGAGTACCTGGTAAATAATGCAGGCTCCATACATTGTTGAATGAATGAATCTAATAAAACCTTTGCTGCTACCTCAAAGAGTGTTGAAAAGGTGTTTGATGAATGACTAAAAGCAGAAGAACAAGAAGAGCCATGCAGGTAGGAGAAAAGTCCCTGGAGTCCAACACCTAGGAAGGGGAGAAGAATGTAACGACCTCTCCGAGATGCTGAGCTGATGGTCTCTGAGAGAGCTGTGTCTCCGACTCGCTGCAGGAACGCTCATCTTCCTCTTCATGCAACACGGAAGAGTTTTGAGAAATGGATCTATAAAAGTACAAAGGGAAAAGCAACTGTATCCAATATCCATTTAAAGAACAAGGCTTGGCCTGGCTTATGAACCGCATCTCACAGCAAGAGAACTACCATAAGAAGAAGTTGTAAGGGAAACCCCAATCTTTTTGTTTGTTTGTTTGTTTTTTGAGTCAGGTTCTTGCTATGGTGCCCAGGCTGGACTTGAACTCCTGGGCTCAACTGATCCTTCTGCCTCAGCCTCCCAAGTAGCGGGGACTACCACTTCAGCTTGCAAGAAACCCAACTCTCAAGCAGGACTAGGGAGGTGGGAAAGAGCAACAAGGAGGGACAGAGACATCTTCTGGGTGCCAGAAGCTCTATGTTTTACCTTTAGCTCCTTCAGTGATTTGCTGTCTGAACTTGGGAAAAACTACTGACGTTTACAGGACCCGAATATTTTCATCTGTAAAATATCCTCCTTTACTCTGCCATAGAAAACTTTGTCATGATTTGTGCCTAGTTGGATTTAAATGCTTAAGAGATAAGAGGTCGACCACGGTGGCTCATGCCTGTAATCCCAATAATTTGGGAGGCTGGAGGCGGGAGGACTGCCAGAGCTCAGGGTTCAAGACTAGCCTCAGCAACTCAGCAAGAACTCGTCTCTACAACTAAAAAAAAAAATTAGCCAGGTGTGGTGGTGTGTACCTGTAGTTCCAGCTACTTAGAAGGTTGAGGCTGAAGGATCACCTGAGCCCAGCAGGTCGAGGCTGAGGTAGCCATGACTGTGCCACTGTACTTCAGCCTGGGTGACAGAGTGAAACTCTAACTCAAATGAATAGATAGACAGATAGATGCTTAAGAGATACAGATTACAAGGTTCCTTCAGTCTTTGGACTAAGCAACACTCCAAGAGCCTGAATGTACCTATCTACAGTGCTCGACACTCTCTTCACTATGTCCTATTCCTTCCCCTTGCAGAAAAAGAACACATAAGAGATTTGTCTCATCTGAATTCTTCTAAATACCTATATACCACCTTATTTTCATCTCTTAAGGGGTGGGATAACCTTTTCTGCAAGCAGCTCTGGGAATAGCCCAGAGAGTCTCCTCTGCTCTGGGTTCCTAGAATGTAAGCCAGCACCAACAAGGGTTGAAGCAGCTCATCAAGAATCCCAGGGGAACACTGTGGAACACTGGCTACTCACTTGGAGAGACTCTTTTTGAGTTTGAGTCCTTGGTTGCTGCAGTCAGACAGGCGGTCCAGAGGGGAGAGTGTCCTCACGGGGGGCAGATGACCATCGCTGCCATATGAAGGCAGCATTCCTGAGAGGTGGCCATCTCCAAGCACGTGAAGTGGAGGGACCGCTGGGGATGGGGTGAGGGGTCCATTGAGGGCCTCGAGAAGAGATACCACTTCATATCCTGGTGGAATATTCTCTGAGGACTAGGGGAATCAGAGATAGGTTGAAAAATCAATTAAGTCTTTTTTGTTTTATGGCATGATCATACTATTTATTCTACACTGAAAAAATGTTTTCTTTTACAACTGGTCTGGAGGTCTGGTAAGAATAAAGCTTCTGTACTAGAGTCAGAGGAAAGATAAAATATCAAAGAACCACATTCTAGATCTTGCTTATAGGTAAGCTTTTTCTTAATATGTGTTTTTTTTCCTGATTATAATAGAAATATATGGTCATTACAGGAAATTTAGAAAATTCTACAGAAAAGTAGAAGAAAGAAAAATCACCAGTCAAATCACCCAGAATAACAATTTTTGTTATCATTCTGGTATATTTTCTGCTTATTTCATTGAACATTAATATTTTCCTATATTTTTGAAACCTCTTCACATAGGTCCCCCACCCGTAGATTTCATAAGGTTGCTAATTATTCTACCAGTGCTGGGTATCTAGCTGTGTCCATCATGTCCTACTGTAAACAAATTTTGATGAACATCTTTGTATACGTCTTTTTCCTTGTCATTAAATTCTTAGATGCGGCCAGGCTTGGTGGCTCAGCCTGTAATTCCAGCAATTTGGGAGGCTGAGGTGAGTGGATTGCTTGAGCCTGCCAGTTCAAGACCAGCCCAGGCAATTTGGCAAGACCTTGTCTCTACAATAAATCAAAAATTAGCAGGGTGTGGTAGCACACCCCTGTAGTTCTGACTACTTGGAAGGCTGAGGCAGAATGATCGCCGAAGCCTAGCCGTTTGAAGCAGGGTGGCCGTAAGTATGCCACTGCACTCCAGTCTGGGCGACAGAGTGAGACTCCAACTCAAAAAAAAAAAAATTAAATTCTTAGATGCTAGATTATGAGGCATACATGTTTTTAAGGCTCTCAGTATCTACTGATGTTTTGTTTTTTCAGTGCCTCTTCTAGTTATATTCCTATAAGCAACAGAGGATACCTATTTTGATTGCTTCCCTGCCAGCAGGGAGAATCTTAATTTTTTATTTTTATTTATTTATTTATTTTTTGAGTTGGAGTCTCACTCTGTCGCCCAGACTGGAGTGCAGTGGCCGCTCCCGGCCACTGCAGCCTCGACCTGCTGGGCTCCGGTGATCCTTCCGCCTCAGCCTTCCAAGTAGCTGGAACTACAGGTGCGCGCTACCACGTCCAGCTGATTTTTTAATTTATTGTAGAGATGAGGTCTCGCCAAACTGCCCAGGTGGGTCTCGAACCCGCAGTCTCAGGCAATCCACTCACCTCAACCTTCCAAAGGCGAGGGATTATAGGCTGAGCCGCCAAGCATGCTTGGGAGAATCTTTAAAAAGGAAAACTTTTAAATTTGAAAGGTGAAAAATGGTATCTCATTTTAATTTGCATATCACTGATTTTTTTTTTTTTTTTTGAGTTGGAGTCTCACTCTGTCGCCCAGA